GTCTGCAAAGGCTCAAATGGGCCCTGCTGTAGTGCTGTGAGCACTAGAGTCAGGTCCCAAGAGGGTATAGAAGGGGGCAGTGGAGGATTTAGCCTTCTCGCCCCCCTAAGGAACCTGATGATCAGATCATGCTTCCCCACCGACTTCCCTTCCACGGGGTCGTGGTTGGCAGCAATCGCAGTTGCTCTCGCCGAAGTGATGGTGTCAACTACATCTGGGGGTAGGTCACCTAGAACCTCCGCGTCCCGTCCAGGGACCAGACATGAAGTTTCCAGAGGTCTGGATGCAGGTGCCACAGGGTGCCCCGTCTCTGAGTCAGTAGATCCTTCCTCAGAGGAATCTGCCAAGGAGGGGCTGTCACAAGGAGCATCAGTTCCGGGAACCAAGTCTGAGTGGGCCAGTAAAGCGCCCACCTCGGGACTCGGCCATGGAGCCAGTGCTGAAGCGGTTTCATATAAAGCAGCCCCAGCGGCGTGACTGCCACTGCCATATGCCACAGGAGCCTCTGAAACTGTTTCAGTGGGACCGCCATCCTGCTCTTGAACGTATTAAAGCAGTTCAACACCGACTGAGCGTGTTCCTGTGTGAGGCATGTTGTTTGTTCGACCGAATCCAACTCCATACCGAGAAAAGAGATCCTCTGCGTCGGGGAGAGTTTGCTCTTTTCCCAGTTGACCCGAAGGCCCAACCGGCTGAGGAGTGAGAGCACCAAGCCCCTGTGTTCGCACAACTGATCCTGAGACTGAGCTAGTATGAGTCAGTCATTGAGGTAGTTGAGAATGCGAATGCCCTGTTCTCTCAGGGGAATAAGGGCTGCCTCCGCAGCTTTCGTGAAGACACGGGGTGACAGGGACAGCCCGAAGGACAGGACCTTGTACTGATATGCCCGTCCTTCGAACGCAAACCACAGGAATGGCCTGTGGCGCGGAAGGATCGACACATGGAAGTACGCGTCCTTCAGGTCGATCGCTGCAAACCAATCCTGGGGACGGATGCACCTGAAGATGCGCTTCTGCGTGAGCATCTTGAACTGAAGCTTGTGAAGGGCCTGGTTCAAGATGTGCAGATCCAAGATTGGTCTTAACCCACTGCCTTTCTTGGGCATAATGAAGTAAGGGCTGCAAATCCCCATCCTCATATCGGCTGGAGGGACCAGCTCTATCGCATCCTTCGCCAGTAGGATTGCGATCTCTGCAGGCAAGACAGGGGCATCTGCTGCCTTCACTGAAGTGAAGTGGACGCCCCTGAACCAACGAGACGGACTGGGAAGCGCTAGCCAGGCTCCCTGAAACTGTACAAGTGCCATCGACGTACCCGCGATGGGGCAGCAAGGGGGAACGCAGGGATCCGGCTCTTTTGTCGAGGTTTTGGGTACCACTGGCCATGAAGTCAGTGGCGGGAAAAAAAGAAACAAAAGATTCTCTGCCTGGCCCTCCTCCGGGGGAGAGAGTGGTGCGTTCACCATCTCCCGAAGAGCAGCTCCCTCCATTTCTGGGTTGCCCCTCTCAGGGCCTCTTGCTCCTCCGCTTGCCACCAGGTTTGGCGGGGGCCTGGACGGGCGGGGCGGCTGCCCTGTGACTGGCTCCACGGCGCTGCTTTGCTGGAGGCTGCTGCATTTGCTGTGTGGGAGCGGGGTTGGCGGCAGGGGGCCGCCCTCGGCGACGAGTAGACTGAGGCGCTGCCACCGGTGGCCGGGTGAAGGCAGCAGCTGCACGCCGGGGCAGGATGTGTTTGATGGCCTCAGTCTGCTTCTGTGCGGCGGAGAACTGCTGGGTGAAGTTCTCCCCCGTGTCGCCGAAGAGGCCGGTCTGGGACATGGGGGCATTTAAAAACTGAGTCTTGTCAGTCTCCCTCATGTCAGCCAGACACAGCCAGAGATGGCGTTCCTGGACCACCATAGTACACATCGCATGGCCCAGAGACCGTGCAGTGACCTTGGCCTGATGAACCTGCAACAGCGCCATGGCGTGTAGGGCAGAGGCAGCTTCTCTGCAGGCCGCATAAGCACTGCCGGTCAGGGTCTATGAGTACCTATAGGCCCGGGAGGGGAGCGACGGCTTGCCCCAGCAGCTGGCAGCGGTATTTGGACACAATTGCATCGCAACCGACTCCGTATACCCCCGTGCTGCCCCACCGTCGAGGGTGGTGAGGGAGGACGACCCTCTGTGGTGGTTTCTGGCAGTGAAAGGTGCTGTCCACGACCCAGTGAGCTCATCATGCACCTCCGGGAAGAAAGGCACTGGGATGGGGCCCTGAGAACCAGCACGAGCCACCCCGAGAAACCAATCGTCCAGCCACGGGGGTTCGGGACGCGGTGGAGGTTTCCACTCGAGCCCGATCCTCTCAGCGGCCCGGGCAAGCATAGCCACCATTTCCGGATCCGGCTTTGCTGGCTGCCCAGAAGGTGGCAGCGCTTCCGGATCATCATCTCCAGAAAGGTCTGGCTCACCTTCCGATGCAGCGATCGACATCTGATCGTCGGGGGAAGCACCGAAGGATACAAGTGGTACCCTACGAGAGGGTCCAGCCTGTTCTTTTGGTGGCTCCACTGGCTGCGAAGTGCCGGTGGAAGGAGGAGCCCTCGGAGGGGAATTCCTCACCGTCACCATAAGACCAGTCCGGCTACTGCCAGAAGTAGCGTCCCCCCGGCAGCCGCAAGAGGGAGCCCTAGATCTAGGCAGAGGCACGGGCACCCCGCCCCTTTGCAGGAAACGGAGCCTGGTCCGCAACTCCGCGACAGTCATTCTCCCGCAATGGGAACATGACTCATCCGCAAACGCCACCTCAGCGTGTTTAATGCCCAGACACATGAGGCAGCTATCATGACCATCACCCGGCGCCAGGTAACGACCGCATCCAGAAACGCAAGGGTGGAAAGGCCTCTTTAAAAAGACGCATCTTTAAAAAGTGAATGCTCTTTTAGAGTTAGCTCTTTTACAATTGCTATTTTAGTGTGCTGAAGTGCACAGGGGAGATGGCCGCCTGCAACACAAACAGGGAATAGTGCAGGCTGATGTGTGCAACCCACTCGACACGGGAAGAACCACTGCGGCTGAAGCACCGTACCGCCAGCACCAGTGCTTCCTAGCGCGTGCTGAACTCGTTGAGTTTCTCTGAAGCAGTAGTCAGGAGCAGAACGAAACAATCGCTTGGCTCCAAAGCGAAAAGCTGAATATGTGCTGCACCAGCTGCCTACTTATACTCACACTGTGATCAGCGGCAGCTGAATGCAATAATCGCATGCCAATGTGCATTGGCTCGTTTAGTTACACTTGACGTAGATTGGTCTCTCTAATCAAGATCCCAATTCGTCTGTCATCCGACGTGACGTCGAGAGTGACCGACTGAAAGGGAACTAAGCGCCCATATAGCTACAATAAACATTATAACCTGTAAGTTAGTTGATGAAAGTGTAATGCGATGCACTTACTGCCTCAGATACAGTCAGCTGTTCTAATGACAGACAAAACACTCCGTCTCCATCATTCGCTGGTCAAAAACATTGTTAACTACATTTGAGCTTGATTTTCATAAAATGTTAAATGCAAGTGTCTGATAAAGCCACGATAAAAACTCTGACGATGCAGTGTTTAATTACTGAAAAAAATCCCTTTCTATCTTTTCCCCCCTATATTTCAGTGCTTCAGTGTGCCATGGGATTTTTTAATTTAATTTTATATATTTATTATCCATCCACCCCCCACCCCTGCGCCATACCCTATGGTTTTGTGAAACGCCGCCACTGGTAGAATCCCATCAAACCTCAATATTGTTGTTGATTTTATAGCTGTGGTTTTTATTGATGAGTATATATTTCCTAATTACTGAGTGTCTTATTTCTTTATTTTATTTTATTTTTCAGCTGACATAAGAAAGATCTAGTCACTCAGGGTAAGAAATAATGGTGATGGTTTGACACATTGGCATGTTGTTTTGAGGACAGTTACCTGAATATTGCACATACCATAATATTAATATTGCACATACTGTACATGCTTGACCTAAACGTGAACGGATAAGCCTTGATGCAACAGGGGCTTTTTTTCTGAGCATTAGTGACAACAATATTATGCCTACAAACAAGTAAGTCACACATCATGCAAGAGGGAAATGATGAGAACAAGTAAACAGAAATTTTGGCAAATATGTTTTAGTAACATATAGTAATATATATAAAAACTAACAATGAAGGGCTACACAAATGCTGCCTTTTATAATTTTCCTCACTGCATATGCATGCAAAGCAATGATATACAGTATGTTATAGTGTATGGTTATGGTGGAAATATCCTTCATTTTCTATTGTCAAATCACTTAACTATCAAGACCCATCAACTATCAAGAATAAGTAAAAACCCTAAATACATTAAGTGTGTGTGTGTGTGTGTGTGTGTGTGTGTGTGTGTGTGTGTGTGTGTGTATTTGTTTATGCTACATTGTGGGGACCAAATGTCCCCACAAGGATAGTAAAACCTGACATATTTGATATTGTGGGGGCACGAGGGGAAAAGAAATATTACATATAGTAAATTATGTTTATCTGAAAGTGTAACAATGTAGGTTTAGGGTTAGGGGATAGAAAATATCGTTTGGTCAGTATAAAAGTAAAAGAAGTCTATGGAATGTCCCCACAATTCACAGAAACAAACATGTGTGTGTGTGTGTTTATGCATGTATGTATGTTCGAACATCTTTGCAATGTGCTTGCTTATTTTGTAGCAAAGTCACCACAATACATAAGCATTACATAAGAACCCAGATACTGTCTTTCCTTCAACAAACAGCAAACTTTGTGTTATAAGTATGTGCATGTGTACTGTATGTCTTTGTAGGAGGTGCTGCTTCATAATGTAATGACACACCTCCAGACCGCGCTATAAAAACTTTATGACAAAAGGTGAGTCACATGTTCCTATTGAAGGCAACCGACCAAATTACGAAGAAAGGAATTTGACTGTCATCTCCAGAACTTCTCTTCGGGAAAATCTGCAAGACTTAAAATGGCCAAAAACACCAATATTCGAATCAGTCTCCCAGCAGTCTGCTTTGTCTGGCAGATTGCAATGATTATCCTGTTTGGTGTGTTCATCCGTTATAATGAGGAGTCTGACACTCGCTGGATCGAACACAGAAGAAGGAAAAATATTTCCACAAATTTAGAGAATGACTTTTACTATAGATATCCAAGTAAGTAACTAACATACCAGAATGTTTTGCTGCAACATTCTATATTTACTGCTATAGCATTGTTTAATTGTATACATTTTGAAGCACTAATATTCTCTATTTTCTTTTTTTCCTGTAGGTTTTCAGGATGTGCATGTGATGATCTTTGTTGGTTTTGGATTTCTAATGACCTTTCTGAAGCGTTATAGTTTTGGTGGAGTTGGCTTCAATTTTCTCATCGCAGCTTTTGGAATTCAATGGGCTCTGCTGATGCAAGGCTGGTTTCATTACCTTGATGAAAATGATGGGAAGATAAAAATTGGGGTTGAGAAGTAATTGATTTTTTGTATTCTACTTTATGAATTACGACATTATGAAATATCTCTGATATGTTCACCTTCATGTTCCGGCCTCTTTTACCTAGCGTCACTTGACTGACATGCTTTCTATAGTATACGGAACATTTCATGTTCCATTTTTGAAGCGATGCTTAACAAATACACCTTTACTCTGTATATGAAGAATTTAACTGTCATTTATCAATTCAGCCTAATTAATGCAGATTTCTGTGTGGCCGGCTGTCTCATTGCATATGGCGCTTGCCTTGGAAAAGTCAGCCCAGTGCAGCTGATGGTTCTTACTCTATTTGGAGTCACCCTGTTTGCTGTTGAGGAGTACATCATTCTTGAACTCCTACATGTAAGTTTAAATGCACTTATTATCTTACCAACATAAGAGAAGGAATTTGTCATTTTTTATTATTTCATACTTGCATAGGCAAAAGATCCTGGTGGTTCCATGGTCATCCACACTTTTGGAGCATATTATGGTTTGACCATATCTTGGGTCTTATATCGACCAATGCTATCGCAAAGCAGGCATTTACAAGGATCCGTTTACCACTCTGATGTGTTTGCAATGATTGGTGAGTACAGTCAAAGAATGTCTCAGCTTTATTTCATTGCATCAAGCAGGGTACAACAAAAGCTCCCCTAAATAAATAATATAAATATAAATTCTGCATTTCCCCCCTCTGTCAGTCAAACCACATTTACTTAAAAAAATCTCAAGCTACATGTGCAACGTTTAAAATTTGTTTATTCAATTAGAGTTTGAATCAAATTTCACCCTTTTGGCAATGATGAAAAGATCTGGGTTGCTATTTGTTGCTAATTTAGTGTTTTGAAAGAAAATAAGATCAGAAGTTATCTTCGCTTCAGGGGCCTTTTCCTGTTGTACAGGTTATCAAAATGTTCAGAATTATTCCTAATTTTTGTCCCTCTTCCTTTAACAGGCACTCTCTTTCTTTGGATGTACTGGCCCAGTTTTAATTCTGCTATTGCAGATCATGGAGATGGCCAGCACAGAGCTGTTATAAATACCTACCTCGCACTTGCTGCCTCAGTTCTCACTACCTTTGCCATTTCAAGTATCTCACAGAAACATGGAAAACTCGACATGGTAACCAAATCTATGGTTGAAAATCTGAGCTTATCTTTAATTTTTCATTGATAAAATAACCCTTAGAATTTCTTGACATTATTTAGGTACATATTCAGAATGCTACCTTGGCTGGTGGCGTTGCAATGGGAACAGCTTCAGAGTTCATGATTACCCCTTACGGCTCTCTGATAGTGGGATTCTGCTCGGGCATTATTTCCACATTTGGATATCTCTTTCTGACTGTGAGTTTTGCTGTATTTTATAGTACTGAAAATGTTCGAAATAATGTTGAAGTACAGTACGCATATTATTTATTGACAATCTAAGTGAAATGAATTTAAATGTACTTTATAATGTTGTTAATTGTCATACATTTTTTTTTAAATGTCCAAACTAATTTGTCTAAATAAAGTCTAAATTGAAGATTGTACTGGAATATTTTGTAACCAAAATCACTTTCTTATTATAATATTTGTAGCAATAGCCAAAAATACATTGTATGGGTCAGAATTATTGATTTTTCTTTTATGCCAAAAATCATTAGGATATTAAGAAAAGATCATGTTCCATGAAGATATTTTGTACATTTCCTACTGTAAATATATTAAAACTTAATTTTTGCTAAGTAATATGCATTGCTAAGAACTTAATTTGGACAAATTTAAAGGCGATTTTCTCAACATTTATTTTTATTTTTTTGCACCCTCAGATTCCAGATTTTCAAATAGTTGTATCTCGGTCAAATATTGTGCTATCTCACCATATATCAATGGAAAGCTTATTTATATAGCTTTCAGATGATGCATAAATCTCAATTCTGAAACGCCTTTGGAGACGGCTTATGGTAGAGAAACGAACATTCAATTCACAGGCAACAGCTCTGGTGAACATTCCTGCAGTCAGCATGCTAATTGCACACTCCCTCAAAACTTGCAACATCTGTGGCATTGTGCTGTGTGATAAAACTGCACATTTTAGAGTGGCCTTTTATTGTGGCCAGCCAAAGGCACACCTGTGCAATAATCATGCCGTCTAATCAGCATCTTGATATGCCACACCTGTGAGGTGGATGGATTATCTCGGCAAAGGAGAAGTGCTCACTAACACAGATTTAGACAGATTTGTGAACAATTTTTGAGAGAAATAGGCCTTTTGTGTACATAGAAAAAGTCTAAAGTTCAGCTCATGAAAAATGGGGGCAAAAACAAAAGTGTTACTTATATATATACTGTATATATATATTTATATGCACACAGTCCCAGTTGGCTTCTGTTTGTACTGTTGCAGTATATAAAATGAAAGCAAACTATTGCGTGACGTGTCATACCGTGGTTTCTGTTCAGGTTGATTAACACTTTCGACTTCAAGGAAGCCGTTGCTAACAGGACAGTCAACATTCAGGGTGGTTACCAGGCAGCTGGTCTTTTTGTAGCAATAGCATTTGGCCTTGTAGGTGGAGCTTTGGTTGGTGAGTGCAAATAAAGTTAAACAGGTAAACTACTTTAGGTGATTTTATAAATATGCATTAGAGCTGGCATTTTATGCTGTGTAATTTTCCAGGTGGGATATTAAAGCTGCCAATCTGGGGAGACCCAGCAGACGCCAACTGCTTTGATGATGAAGTTTACTGGGAGGTAAGAAAAGTGTTTTTAGATTAACTACATGGTATTAAATTAAACAGAACTGATACATTTAAGGATTTCTATGTCAAAATATTACTTAGAATTTATAAATAATAGAATTTGTGTTGTTTACTTTTAGGTTCCTGAGGATGAGGATGAGAATATTCTCTCTAGACACCCAAACATGAACCACACAAGAGGCATGCCAGATGCGTGAGTATATATGTTGTTAAGTTTAAAGTCACTTGATATGAAATTAATATAAAATTGCAGTTAAGAGATTAAGAAATTGCTGCTTAAAAATATTTAATGTAAATACTTTCTGTAAAACTGTTGGTATCTCTTATGTACACAGATATCAACGAAGTCATGTGTAAGAAAAAAAAAACACCCTGAAAAACTCCACCTCCAGCAGAACTTCAGCTGTGAATGATGTTTGAATAAGAATGATGACGGGTTTACAGATTGAGACTAGATAAGATACTCAATGGAAATGTTTAAGTCGGTCATGTGCTGTGGGTTGTACAATGTCATAATCCTAAAGCATTTTGTCTGCAGCACCTGACTATGTTGCCACTGCTTCTTCCACAAAAACTAATCCAAACGTGTTTATTTCCTTTTTAAATGCTTTATATTCCTTATCTTATCTTTGTTTGCAATCTAACTATATACTGTATATCAGTTCAATATTAATTGCATTTTCTTTTTGCATTACTACTTATAATAATTGATCTACAGAACAGAACAAGATTGACTTGTTTAAGCTATAGCCTACATGAAAAGTTAACTACCCGTGTTATTTAACCTCCCTAATAAAGCCAATTTCTTTTTTTTTTATCATATATCAGTTTTGTTTTTTGTTTCTATATTTTTGAGCACTGAAGGACGTTGACGCTACTACGAGATTGGCTTTGACAGGTGAATTTGCATATTTGCCTGAGGCCTTTATTTGAAGGAACACTCTGTGAGCAAAGAAACTTCAGACTGTCTGGAATGTTGAGAGCTACATATTCATCAAAACTGTTTGGGCAAAAGTCCAGTTCATTAAAATAATAAGCGATCATTCCCATTAGACAGCATCAGATCTCTCTAGATGAAGTCTTGGAATCATTCTTTGCATTTATCGTCACTAAAATCACTGTCTACTAATATGGATAGTCTCTTGTGTCTTCCCTTGTACCTTGTCTTTGTTAACAATAAACTTTTCTAGGATTGGCAAGAAACTTAACTAGTTGGATTTTTTTAACACACCAGAGAAATTAATGTTTATGACATTTCTTTGAAAGTTGTCATGGATAAAATTAGGGACGGTGCAAAAACTGAGAAAAGAGAACAGACTCTGTAGACCAGATTAGCTACACAGCTGGTGTTTTTTGCTCTAATTGACCTAAACTTTTTGCCTAAAAGGAAGCGCTTAAAAAAGTGGGTGAGAGGAGGTAACAAGTGAGGCAGACTTTTTGATTTTTAGTCAATGCTCTGTGCAGACTAGATAATGTGTTGATGTCTGCCCTTGAAATTGACCGATACAGCTTCAAACGAAATCCAAAATGACTGCTCTAAGATGTTTTCATAATTAAATAAAAATATTTCAAGCAATTGTAACAGATATTCAAATAGGCTATATAGGCTACATGTTACTGTACAGTTTTTAAAGGGTTAGTTCACCCAAAAATGAAAATTCTGTAATCAATGTAATCAGTGTTTTTTACGTTCAGCATGTGCGTGCTGCCTACTGAACGTAAACAACGCTGATTACATTGATTACGTTCTGGGGTACTCTCCAAAATGGCGGAAGATGGTAACTTGGGGAGAAGAATTGTTGAATAAATTATGTTATTATTGTTTTATTTGCACACAAAAAGTATTCTCGTAGCTTCGTAAAATTACGGTTGAACCCCTGATGTCACATGGACTATTTTACTGATGTCCTTGCTACGTTTCTGTGCGCTGATCGTTGTAATATCCTTGTTGTCTATGGAGGGTCAGAGAGCTCTCAGATTCCATCAAAAATATCTTAATTTGTATTCCAAAGACGAACGAAGGACTTACGGGTTTGGAACGACATGAGAGTAAGTAATTAATGACAGAATTTTCATTTTTGGGTGAACTAACCCTTTAACAAAAACAACAGACACCCTTTATTTTACTTTTACTCTGTGTTACTTGTTTACTGAATCGTTAGCTATTTCGCTAACATGAAATCATTTATCAGTCTTCCTATTTTCTACATAGCTTATATAGTTTTTACATTTTCTTTTTTCAAATGTGAAGTTTCATTATTTTTTATCATTATCATCATTATCTGCAGTACTATGGTAATTATACAGTCAGTTTACTTTACTGTAAGAGTTGCTTACACATGGTCAGAAAGTTCTATAAGTGGCTGACTGGTTGTTGATAAACTTCTACTCTGATCAAAGGCTCTCATAGATAATAATTCCCCCTTTAGACAACCTTGTGATAATGCAAATGAATTGCTGTAATTTGATCCCTGTGTTATATATCAGAGCTGCAAGTCTTCAAAGTGTTTGAAAATGAGACCTTCCCCCTTTAACCTGATCAGTCTAACTTCTTGGCACTACAACTTTAATAAATAGTGTGTTCTGTGTGAACTTTTTGAGTCATCCTCTACTTCTCCTTATCCTGTACTAGTGTCCATTCTCAAGTAGTGTATCATGTTTTTACTGTGCTTCTTCGGTAATCTGTGATGTATCTACAGTAGGTTATGCAATGTTTGCTTACTAGTGGCTGAGATGACTAAAACTCATGTATAATATATTTGAATATCTATTTACATATCTAAGTCTTTCAGTATATGTATTTTATTCATTGCAACTTATACTGCTTCTTCCAAAAGCCTAATAATACATATTAAGGGAAGTCGTGGCTTAATGGTTAGAGAATCGGACTCGTAACCCAAAAGGTTGCGGGTTCGAGTCTCGTACCGGCAGGAATTGTAGGTGGGGGGAGTGAATGTACAGCACTCTCTCCCACCTTCAATAACACGACTGAAATGCCCTTGAGCAAGGCACCGAACCCCCAACTGATCCCCGGGTGCCGCAGCAAAAAAAATGGCTGCCCACTTCTCCGGGTGTGTGTTCACTGCTGTGTGTGTGCACTTTGGATGGGATAAATGCAGAGCACTAATTCCGAGTATGGGTACATAATTGGCCACATGTCACGTCACGTCACGTCACTCACTATTAAGGGATTTTTAGTTATTATGTAAGCACCTGAATAACAGTCGTTGGTAACATGTATATCCTTGCCAATAGGTTTTTAGGGAATCAACAGTGAAGGAAATTGCTTAAATGTGCATTCTTGTTTGTATTCAACATTAAAAAAATTATTTCATTTAATCAGCTACTTGCAGTTTCTTTGTAATTATTTGTAACATAGCACTTAATTACAGTCCTGTTCCGCATGTGCATACTATTTAGTTTTTATAGTAATTACAATAACTAGGTAATAACTAGGTACTACTAACCCTGAAACTACCCCTAAAACTAACCAACTTTCTTAGGTAAGTACGCCGTAAGTACATGTATGTGCATGTACTGTAAAATAAAGTCCAACCCATTTACTAGCAATTTCTGAGGGATAATAGTTTCAAATTAAATCATACACCATTTTTTCTAGCCACTCCCCTTTTGATAATATCAGATGCACTATTGTGGATAGTTTTATAGCTACCTGTAGTTGCTGAGCATCATTTCGCGTGAGACTGTCTGTCATGTATTAGGAAACAAATGAGTTAAAGTGTAAACCATGCATTATTTGTTCCCAAAGCAGATGGTTTCTGGTTGTGCAGGTATATCCAGTCATGGAAAGTTACTGGAAACTACGTCGGTTCCCATGCAGTTGAGTAAGTTATCATCTGAGAGATCAGAACAGTCAGAACGTATTTACAGTAAAATACTTCTCTCAAAATTGGATTTGTCAGAACAATAAGTTACAGTATGTGCATCAGACCACCCTAAAAATAAAAGACTAAGACCATGTATCACTATTAACAGAATATGGGGCATTTTTTATTACCTAGGTTGAAGGGGGACTCCTACTTTTAAATAATGAAAAATAAGTACTTACAAAATTGAAACCCCGAAGAACAATTACATTTACGCTAGAGAATTTAATAAGCTGTTGTGCAGAAATTATGAAAACAAAACTTTTGCAAGTGCAAATGGAAGTGAGATCTCCTTGTAATTGATGATAGGGTGCTTGATTAGTATAAATAATTAACATTCATTTGAATTATTTCAGGGGAAACAAATGGGGTAATCATTTATAATTATTATGTAGACGTGGATATACAGAGCAAGAAGGATGGTCCCTTTTTAAGGTGTCTCCTTTGTTGTAGACCTACACATGCTAGTCGCAATGAGACCTGATTGTGGTCCCTTGTTTTGTAACAGCTGAGAGCAAAGAGGATTACATGAACAAAAGCCTCTGTGGATGGTTGAGGAGGATATCCTGAAGCCAATGGGCTTTGTTTACATCATTGTATCTCCCACAGAGCTAACACAGGAACACTAAAATATGCAAATATGCATAATAACCAAAGAGCTGCAGCCATGAAGATCACGGTTGTGTACGCCCAAGTCCTTCATGTTGGGAAGAAATCTCTGAATGTTTTGTAAATGGGCTGAAAGTTGCAACACAAGGTGTTAGTTCAATATTTGTATTCCCATGCCGGAAAGACAAAATCCCATGCACCTGAATTTTTAAGGTTAGCCTTGTAATATTTTAGAGGTCTTTCAGCAGCTGTGAGTGAAAGACTCAGGTCTCAGAGCAGTGGTCCAGGAGGTGACTGCAATCCAGCTGTGTTTTTAAATGAGGAACATCCATCTGAGCCTCTTTCCACTACTTATTGGCAAAGGAGAACAATCAGCTAGATAGAGAGAGAGCTCCACGCTGTGGTAAGAATTCAACACACACACACTGAGAAAACATGTGCTTCCACTTGAGGAAAATGTACACAAGTGTGATGGATTTGTGTTGCATGTTTTTAAAGAATCTGCGTGTTACACTTTCTTTAAAAAAAAGAAAACGATGGAAGAATTATAATTGTTGTTGTTGCATTACACTTTATGGTTGAAAAGACCAATTATGGCTAATTATGAATTTATAATCATATGCAGTGTTGGGGAAAGTTACTTTTAAAAGTCATGCATTACAATATTGTGTTACTCCATAAAAAGTAACTAATGACATTAC